TTTGAGACCGAATCCCCATAAGACATCTACTGATTTATTTTTATTATACAGGGTGTGAAAAATAGACGGAGATATTTTAGGAGGCGATTCCTTGTTAAACATATGAAAAAAGTTTCTATAAACATGGGTCCGGAAATGCAGACTTTGCAAGATACAGGGTGATAAATTTAAAAAAATATATATATATATATATATCAATATCCCAAAAAATATTTACTTGATTCTGTTGAAATTTGGCAGTATGGTTCGTTGTAGCCTTTTAGCCTTAAATAGATTAAAATTATTAGGTCTAGTGACGTCCCGGGGGGCACCTTGTCGAATATTATTGGCAAAAAATGTACGCGACGGCCTTTTTGTATTTTTAATATTTGTTGTTTGATTAAGCATCTAAAAATACAACTTATTTGCCTCTTGTATTTTTTTCGTATCTCACTTCGTTTGTTTGGTTTATTAATTTTTACTAAAAAAATCACAAGTGTCTTGGAAAACAAAAAATCATTTCTGCATGGAGATTTGATATTTGCGCGTCAGTTATTCTAGAAAAGAATTATTCTCGTAATTTTCTTTGCAAAATTTCTCTAAAAAGCTTTGGTCTCGGTGTTTGTGATGGAAAATTAAAATTTTGTGAAAATGGCAGACATGCAGGTAATGTATGCGCGTGCTTATAGTAACTGTTACGCAGCGATGCGCCTGTATGCAGAAGCGTTTCCCCATCGGCAACTTACAGATAGTAAAACCTATGAAAGCGTAGATCGTAGATTACGGGAAAGACGTAAATTTTCTTACTTTATTTTCGTGATGTTTTTGACAATAATGTTATTTAGGAAGTTGTGCCATTCCCACCAATGATAGAGGCCGGCCGAGGTCCGTAAGAACGCCTGAGTTTGACAAGGCAGATTTACGTGCCATGGAACAAAATCCTGGTATCAGTACCAGGACTATAGCAACTTGATTAGGCGATAATCATTCAAACAGCATTGTGTGGCAGGTTCTCTCCGAGTAACTTTTGTATCCCTATCATATCCAACGTGTGCAAGCGTTATTACCAAGAGATTTTCTACCTCGTTTACAGTTCTTCCAATGGTAATAACAAGAGGCTAATAATGATAGGAATTTTATAAAACCATACTTTTTACGAACAAAGCAGGATTTCGGCAGGTTGGTATTGTTAATTACCATAAAACTCATGTATGGAGTGTCGAAAATCCTCATGCACACGTACAATGTCGCCACCAGGAACAATTTTCTTTAAATGTGTGGATGGGTATTGTTGGTGACAATTTAACTGGTACTTTCTTTTTACCCTTAAGATTAAAGGGCGAATCTTACTTAGAGTTTCTTCAACAAGAATTGCCCTTAACTGCTACAAGAAGTTCCTCTGAATGTACGAAATCAAATAACTTTTATGCACGATGGAGCTCCACCTCATTTTTGGAAATACCTGTTGGAACTCATTTGGATAACACCTTTGGTGAAAATTGGCTTGGAAGAGGTGGATCAATTCACCGGCCACCTCGCTCCGCTGACAAATCCAATAGATTTTTATTTATGGGGACACCTTCAGACGATGGCTTACGCTACTCACATAGAAACAGTAGAAGAATTAAGAAATGAAATCGTAAATGCTTGAGAAGGTGTACAGAAATGGATGGTGGACATTTCCAACATTCGTTGTAGTGTACTTCATGTCATGGTACCTATTGGAAAAGTTGCAATAACACTCTTTCCTAGACATTTTTCAATTTTTCCAATGCACTTGTGACTTTTTAGCAAAAATTAATAAACAAATTTTGTCCAGTGACATGCAATAAAACTGTTTTTATTTTTTTTTTCTCGGAAACGAAGTGAAATACAAAAAAATACGAGAAGCAAAAAGTTTTATTTTTAAATGGTTAATCAAACAACAAAAAATATTATAGTTAGAAAAAAGGCAGTGGCGTGAATTTTTTGCCAATAATATTCGCTAAGGTGCCCCCCAGGACGGCACTGGACGTAATA